CTGATGTTTCCTTCAGGCGGTAGATCTGCTGAATATTCAATGGTCCCATAGCTTCATGCTTTATTTCTCTTCTCTTTACTGCCTAAGCTTTAATCCTGTTCCTATATCAACTGTATGCGTGTGTGTGGGTGTGTGTATGTGTATGTTAGACTAGTTTAAGTGTTTATGTAGTTAATAAAGTCTTACTTGTATCACACTTGACGTTGTTCATTGTTTGCTCATAACTGGAGTCCCTAATCATGCAGATGTATGCTACATGCTCTGTGTAGTATTGTACACACACAAGAACAGTAAGAAAGTTATTTCCCTTAACCAGGAAATTAACGTTCTTAGAATTGACAGACAGTTGACCCTGAGAGGTCAAGTAAATACTTACAGCAGATCTAAATATTTATAATTAATTATAACTAGTTATGATTAATTATTCATATTTCCCCTTTGAGCTGAGTCGCTACAAAACCCAACTGCAGTTTGATTGATATTACTTGGAATGTGCAATAAAAAAAAACGTGATTTCTGAAAAGAAATAAAAATGGAGTTATCGGTTTATGCAAATTAACTTATCATATATAATTATAATTAACTATTAAATGTACACTTTATAATTTTTTAAGTGAAACATTTTTTTAGAAAAAAATTCCAGCATCATTTGTTTGCAGATTGTTGTTTGATACCTAATGTAATTACATTCATACATTTTTAAGTGTGACTTCAGTATACAAATACATTTTGGGGCCACTATATATCAACCAACATTTTGATATTTACCTTCAGGTTCTAGGAGTCTTGGGATCCCAAGACTGTAGTGTGCTGTTCTGAAGGCTTCCTCAATGTTCTCTCTGGGCGTTCGGAGCAGCGCTCTTCTCATATCTACCAAACTATTGTCAATCGACTTAATCACAGCAAGGAAAGCCAGACCACTTGTCCAGCTCTTTCCAAAGTCCTGCACAGCAACTCCATATCTGGAAGAACACCGTAATCAAGCAATGCTTTGAATAAACGGCCGGTCCTAAATCTGGCCAGTCTCAATTAAAAAAATTCCCGGAGGCCACTAAAATCACTTACTTTCTAGTACGTCTCTGGACCCATTGCAGGAGGGTCTTGATCACCCTTCCATGACCTCTTGGAGCAATGGTGGGTTTTCTGTCATCTGAGGGCGTGCTGGAGTGGGAAGTGTCTGAATCAGAGCTGGTGGGTATGGATGACAGGCTGGAGGAGGAAGGGAACTGACTCTTAATGTTCCCCGTGAGTTCTTTGATCTGTAATACAAACAGGTAATTACTGAACAAGTAGACGACAAGCATTTACTCAGCGTGGTGGCTATTCCTATCATGCTGCTAAGTAAACTCTTTGGTCCTATCTTAACGCTGACTCTGATCTCTTAAGTGATAAGAGAGTTGTTCGTTCTCTAGATAAGATTAGTGCACATTTGGACCCTAAACCAACATTATGCGATTGCCAAGAGATTCAGAATGTGCATGTTCAATCACTGGTCCAATTAGACCTCATTGTTTCCCACAGCCATTTAAAACCATATAGGAATGTTTTCTGAGTTGCAATTAATCCAATGTCTAACTAAATGCCACTAAATCCAATTAAATATACATTTCAATTTATTAAATGTATTTTTTTTTAATATTACAAATATATTATTATTTAAATGTGTATAACTGTAATATTTTTATTTAAAAAAAAATTTCAAGGATGCATAGAATTGATCAAAAGTGACAGTAAAGGTTCTTACATTGTCACAAAAAAATTATATTTCAAAGAAATACTAAAATCAAACGTCTATTCAAAGAACCCTGAAAATAAACTGTATCACATGTATTTCCAAGAGATTCAGAAGGTGCTGTATATGCAATTGTTGGTCAAATTAGACCTCATTGTTTCCAACAGCCACTTAAACCCACAAAGAAAAGACTCTTGAGTGGCAAATAATCCATTGTTTATCTATTCACCCCACTAAATCCAATTAAATATAGTCTAATCCAAACGCAATCAAGATTTAGAAATAAAGAAACACACAGGTAGAAAACATGATTACGCTACCTGGAAAAACAGTATGATGTTCCAGATAAGCCCAAGCACTATGGATGGATTGCCATCTGCAATATCTGCTGCATCAATGCTGACTAATTTCACCTATAACCAGAAACAGATTTATCACACTTTCAGGAAAAGCATTCAGGATGTTTTATTTGCTTTTTGTGAGGGTGTGTGACATCAAATTATACTTACGTTTCTTTCTTCCAGAAATGTCAATACCTTGGCGATGTTATTGAGCCTAAAAATACGATGCGAGGATGGCTTAAAGCCATGCAGCTGAAAGGTCAAATGTCAGCATTTTCTTAGTCATTCATAGGAACAGATGAAGTAATATGATTAAGAAAATCTACTGAAATGATTCTCACCAGTTTACATCCTGAGAGTTCTTCAAGTAGAGCCATCAGAATCTTTCCATCCTGGATATCACAAAACAGATCCCGCACCTCCATACGAGGGTTGCACTGCACACCAAAAAACACATGCAATTTGTGCAAAATCAAGAAAGATTATATTTCTGTCATAATCTATAAATATAAAAGGTGAGAAAAATGCAAATTATGCATTTTTAAAATGAATATTTAAAAAAAATCCAAATATCAAATAATAATATAAAAAATATTGTTGCCCTAATAGTCGGATATCAAATGCTTCTCATTGTTTCAGAGAGTTTGCAATCAAAAGTCAGAGATTTCAATTCACTAAAATATTCAAATATATTCCTAAACTAGGTCAAAACTGCTTTCTTTTTAAGAGACAGAAGTGAAAAGTTGATACTTAAAACAAAACTGAGAACTCTGAGCAGTTAAGTTTCATTCTGAGTGACTTCATTTACAGAATGTGATTTAAAACAAGCCAACACATGTATGTGTGTTGAGAACATTTCCCAGAAGAATAAAAAGGATATGATGGGACAACGGTGGAAACTGGACGGTTAAGGGTGAAATTTTCCACCAAAACAAACCAGACAAAGTGTAATTGTCCAATAGTGGGTCGAAGTTTTGAGAAGAAGTCAAACTCGGGGTCACAGAATAGAGTGACATTGTGTATGAAAACAAAGGATTCATCACTGAGTGTTTTCAGTCAGTATTATGAGACTCTGAAGAATGGCAGCACTACAATCTATAAGCTGTCTACAACACAAGAAGACCAGCGGCGGGCTGCCAGAGAAAACAAAAGAGCAGGCTTAAATGAGTGCAAATGTATGTGTTTATGTGTGTTTTGTGTCTGTCTCACCATTTTTGGTAACTAATGAAAGGAGGAGGAAAAATCTGAGAGTGAAAGTGGAAGAAGGGAGTCTCAGAGAGTAAAAATCATAGAACATTTTTTGACAATTTGAAAATATTTGAAAATAATATTTTTTTATATTGTAAGTACAAAATAAACGTAAGAAGCATTCTGAATTAATTTGAAAAAACAATAGGTAAGATATATATATACTGTATGTGTGTGTGTGTGCGTATATATATATATATATACTGTATATATATACACACACATACACATATTGTCACACCCCATTGGACTTTTGTTGTGTTTTCTTCCCCCATGTGCTCTGTGTGACCTAGTTTTTCCTCATGTTTGATTGTGTCATTTAGTTCAGGTGTGTGTCATTAATTATCTTCATTTGCCTCAGTATTTAAAGTGTAGTCTTTCCTGTTTTCCCTTGTCCGGTACTGATGTGATTGTGAATGTTTCCCTACGTGTGCTCCTGCCTGTCCGTCCTGGATTTACCCTTGTGTGGATTTATTAAAAGACAATTTGCATTGATCTTCATCTTCTTCGTGCGTTTATATCACCGTAGTGTGACAGAATACCGGACCAAGAAAAAAATAAATGAATGGAATGGGCGGCGAAATTCTCAATCGACCTGGTAACGTTCACCCTGGGATTTTCTAGTCTTGCCGTCACGTCCTTATTTGACAATGAGACGCTGAAATCCCTGTTCCGGATCGGGGTAAATTACCATCGCCCCATGGACCTCCCAGACACCACCAGACTGAACTGGAGGGAGGCCATGTTTAGGTGTCTGGAGAGCGTCCTACCCCGATCCGGAACATGACAGGACCCAGAGCCCTGCCCACCATCACCCCGCTGCGCGGAGCAAAAGCCCGAGCCCACCGCGACTGACGGAGCCATCACATAATGGAGCAACAGAGCTGAGGATCTCCCCGGAGCCAGAGCCAGTGACGTCAGACCAGGTGCAAGAGCCGGCTACAGAGCTCGCCACGGGGGAGATCGCTATGGACAGCGAGAGTGCAGAGGGAAGCTCCGCCCACTGCACCATGGCTGAGGCTGAGCCGAGCTCAGTGGACTATGATTGGGATGTATATGCAGACATGCCCCCTCTTCTCTCTGCCTGCCCTGAATTATCTGCCTGCCCTGAACTATAACACGTGTGTGTGTGCTACATATAAAATAACACACTAATTTTTTGTGACAATTAAGTAAAAATTTTTTTATTATACTTAGTATTAATTCTTACGTTTTAATTAACTTTGTCTTAATAAAACTGTATTTTGAAAAACTGTAGAACTGTAATTAAACTGTATAAAAACAGTACAATACATTTAAACCACTACTTCCCCAAAAAACATTTCCTCAGGCCTAATATTCTTCCTACAATTTAGGTTAATTTTTCTACCTCATGCATAATTAATACTAAGAAATTACAATTTCCTTCATTAATAATTCAGCAGAGAGACCGAGACATTCATTTCCTGTTTGTAGTAGGCTATGTGTTACCAGTACAAAGATGGCTTGATCTGTGCACAACAACGAAAATCTGAAATCTATAAACTACACCTACTTGGTTCAAAGGATCCAAATGAATTTTTACTGACCTTCTCTAGATGTAGATTCATCCATCTGGTGAATGTTCTCTTCTGCACCACCTCCCTCTCAACTGGAAGAGAAACAAAAACAACAGCATCACGTCAGTGGAGGTAAATGATGCACAGAGATGAAACGGCAAGAAGTTGTTTCATCTAAAACAGCAGCTCTATGTCATTAATCTCACGTGGCCTGAAGCAATCGCTCACTTGTGAGCACACCATGGCAACAAAGGCCAAACAGAGCACGGTCATTACAGTCAAAGTGGAATGACCAGTGCCCATAAACGGCAAACCTCCACTGAGCCGTTTTATTTAATGAGCAGCCAACGGCAACTTGTGCTTGTCTTTGCATTATTACACTAAGAATGTACTGACACTTGTAGAAACATAATTAAAATCTAAATGCTTTACACTGTGCTGCAAGTGTAGTGCTGACATGAAGAATAAACATTAACGCACTCTAGCCCAGCATGTATAGCAAGTATACAATAAATCAGTGAGGGCGTTATAATATACACGGTTTCACACAACAGTTATACTTAATATGCTCACAATATCATGAAAATTCCTTAAACTTTTTCATTTTGGTAAAAATCATAAACAGTTCATGCAAATCCCAGTTTGAAATGCCTATATTTTTGCCTTTCGCCCCAATAATTATTTGTTTGTAAACTGCTTTATTGCTATTTTGTCTGCTTATTTGTGAAACACAAACAGAAGAAATTTGTAAATTGTTCAGAAAATGTTGCTTACATAAATTGTCACACTCAATTCAAATATAACATTTACACTGAGTCTGACTTGTTCCAAAAAAAATTTGAAAATTGCATAAGCAAAAACAATTAGCACTGCATTGGAAAATAATAAATAAATGTATTCCCCAAACTACAATATATTTTACTTATCTATTTACCTTGTGCAAGTTAACATTTAGAAATATTCAAGCAATGTCAATTACACATAATACTTAAGAAACAATGTTAACAAATAAATCAATTATACATATTTTTGTCTTAATATCTTATATCTTAATTTGAAATATATCTTAATTTGTGGCTCTTGCACTGACAAATACTTAAGCTCTTTTACAAAACAATATTATAAGAAATGGATTCAGATTAGTTCTATAACTGATGACTTATCTATAATTGATCCTTCTCATGTTGCCACAGAGAATGATGGGAAATGTAGTTATTATACAAGCTTGTTGCCTCATAAACCAGCTAACTGTGCATCGTCTGTAGGGAGATCATACTGTACATCATCTTTTTCCCAGACATATCCTGGCCGGGATTTCAAAATTGCATAAAATGTCCAAGTTTTGGCTTTTGTTTCCCTATTGTTTTCATAGCTATAATGACTAAAAAGTAGTCAATTGTCCAACTGTGGCATGTGAGAAGGTGGGATCTACAGATAACAGTCAAAGCAATACAAATATATAATGTATGAGAACTGTAAAGAGCATGTCAATAGGAAAATGAATCTAAAACCTGGACATTTTAGGCAATTTAAAAATCCCGGCCAGGACATATCTGGGAAAAAGAGAATGTGTGGTCACCCTATTTTCTGTCATCATTCTTCATCAACAGTTCAAAAACCATGTACAAATAAAATCACATCTCACTTATAACCAGTAACAATTTGCTTCCACTGTGAAAATGTTAATATGGTACCAAGTGGTGACTATTACTTCATGTTTGGGAGGAAAGGTCACATGTTTCTTTGGACCTTGTGTACACTCTTCGAAATAAAAGACATCTGGCCTAGAGAGATGGTGGCAGTCGGGGAGACTCCCATGAGACTGTGCTTGATTATATGATCTGTCAGGCAGAGCGTCTACACCATCTACGTCTACCTCATGATGAATGGCTTCTTCTCAAGTTTTCTCTTCCTCTGCCGGCGGCTCATTTGGATTCTATAGGTGTACACACACAAGAAACGGGAAGATCCTGATGGGGATATCACTGGAGGCATGGCTTTCCCCATTCATTATTCACTGCCAAAACATAAATGCTCCATTTGCTGGAATCAATAACTGTGGTCCAAATGCCATGATGGAATAATGACCGAACAGTCTAACGGGAAGTCTAGGCATGTCGCCACATACACTGAACTCAACAGCACAATAGTGCACATTCAGAGAGTGTCCAAGTTGAAACACATTTAATAACCCCATAAATGCTTCACAGTTGAGCACTTTCTTAATAGAAGTGATTTTGGCAGATAATTCATTATTCAGAATACAAGCCAGTGTTTGGACAATGTGACCCCTGTTAAATGTCTCCTTGAATTGAACTAGTGCTAAATTACGTCAACTAAAACGCTGTTTTTTACACGTTTATCTACGTTTTCCATGTGACTTCATATCCTTCCATATTGGCAAAAAACATAGGTGCTACCAAATCCGTAATGCAAAATTTAATGAAAAAACACAGTGTTTTGCAATTTCCTGACTTCCAAGAACTGGCTCTTTCTGGTCGACCCTAATAAACAGTTACTGGTTACTAATGGCTGCTCTTGCATTACCAGCCCCAGTATGACATATTGGCGGCTGGTTAAGTTTCGATCACCTACAGTGCTTTAGCTGTTTTGTGAAGCACAAAAACAAATGAAGTCTGTTCATACTAAAATATGCTACATGTGTACATATGCATCATCCAAACATCTTTTAATGTATATTTGATTGAGCTTATGTACCAAATCATGAGTCACTAATTGCTAAATGGTAGATATTAAAATGCTGCACTATTTTATTTATTTTATACTCTAAAGCTAAAATCAATAGTTTAAAAGCTAAGTATGAAAAATAGATATGAATTCTGAAATTAGCTTAATATTAAATTGAGCAGTGTTATTAAATTATTAGTGTTTTTAAATTTAATGTATATTTGATTGAGCTTATGTACCAAATCATGAGTCACTAATTGCTAAATGGTAGATATTAAAATGCTGCACTATTTTATTTATTTTATACTCTAAAGCTAAAATCAATAGTTTAAAAGCTAAGTATGAAAAATAGATATTAATTCTGAAATTAGCTTAATATTAAATTGAGCAGTGTTATTAAATTATTAGTGTTTTTAATGATTAACTTAAGTGATGATGGTAAAGTTAATACAAATGTAAAAAACTTATAAATCCAAAATCATTGATATGGTACCAATATTCCTTAGAGTTCTCATCTAGAAGTTGAACACAAGAAGATGTACTGTGTGAACGGTTTCTATGATATGGGGGAAGTCGTGGCCTAATGGTTAGAGAGTCGGACTCGTAACCCAAAAGGTTGCGGGTTCGAGTCTCATACCAGCAGGGATTGTAGGTGGGGGGAGTGAATGTACAGTGCTCTCTCCCACCTTCAATACCACGACTGAGGTGCCCTTGAGCAAGGCACCGAACCCCCAACTACTCCCCGGGCGCCGCAGCAAAAATTGCTGCCCACTGCTCCGGGTGTGTGTTCACGATGTGTGTGTGTGCACTTTGGATGGGTTAAATGCAGAGCACTAATTCCAAGTATGGGTCACCATACTTGGCCACATGTCACTTCACTTTCACTTTCACTTCACTTTCACTTTCATATTAGAAGGTAATACATGTTTGTGTACTTCATAAAAGAGATATGAAACTAGATAATAACTTTGATGTTCAGTGAAGCAATATAAATTTTACAGAACTACAAAAGCAATCCCTTTGTAGAAATCATAAAGAACATTAACACACCAGCCTTAATTTCTTTTTTCCTGCCAAATTAACTATAAAGCATTTCAGGCCAGGGGCCCCAGCCAAGAACACAGCCCTCTCCATCTTTCTGCACAGACCATGTCGGTTTAATGAGGGGGCTGTCTTCCAGCTCCAAAGAGCCAGCACTCATAAACACAAAAGGCCACTGCCTGGCTGCACGGGACAGCTTTGAGCTCTCAAGTATGACAGACGGGCCTGAACTCTGGCTGTCTGAAGGTTCAACATGAGCAAAGCTGGAACCTTTTATGAAAATGTCTTCGTTAGGACAGTTAGATTGTTCTGCTGTGATCAGCAGTTCTGTTTGTGACTCTGTTCAAATACCAAATTTATGAACACCGCTGATTAATCTGAAGACTTTTTCTTTGATTGCCTGAATATTCCATCAGAGACTACAATGGGCCAGTCTTTATTTTTCAGCAATTATCATTACTGTAGCAGCAAGTTTTAGTGTTAAAAAATATTTAAATAAGAGATATTTGCATTAAGGTAATGACAATTAATATGTTCTTAATTGTCATAAAATAATGTCACAATTCAAATTATTTATCCTTTGTGCAAAAATAATTCTATATTTCTTTCTTTATATTGTGTGAAAAATTACGACTGAAATGCATGAAGTTACCGGGAAAAAAATTATGCAAATTAGCTTTTTATATATATATATAGAAATGCATTTTTCAATCACTAATGGATTGGAGGTTCTCTACATCTAATAAATAATGAAACCATTAATGAATAAACTGACTAATCAATATCGGAACAGTCGTTTTCATTATCATATTTTATAAACTATTTAATCATTTAGTTGTTGCAACCCTAATTAATGTTATTGAATATGTCAAGGGCTGAATGAATTTATAACAACATGGCTTAAGAAATATGCTTTGAGTTTTTTCATGTGCTAAGTATTAGCTGATTTGCAATAATTTTGCTTAACAAAGCAAACTCTGCTCTATTTTCAGTTCCCAGTGAACGGCTCCTACATGTTCCCACATATCACTTAATATTACATGACACCGACACATTTTTATTTTGCCAAAAGTCTACACTGTGAGATCCACAGATGTTCACGTCATAGGATAAGTAGCTTTGTGTAACAATGACTATACACGCTCTTCAAAATAACAGGTCACAATCAATCAATCAATCAAGAAATAACAAAGCTAAAAACGAAAATCCTTCCAATAAGTGAATGTGTCCATGAAAACAATGCTTTGTCCAAACAGAATGACATAATATTTTTGGTGAAATGCAAATGCTGTGGGAGAACCATCTCTCTGATATTTAATCATCTCTCAAAATCCTCAGATTTGTCAAATATCTTAAGAATCAAATGCAATTCAGATAAAGTAACTAACAAAATCACTTAAGTCTCAGTTACCAGATTCATTATCGTTCAGTCAGAGTCTGTTTTCAACTGATAAATACACAGAGACTCAGAAGCATGTGACTCTTATTTGCTTAACATGCAAAGAATGGGTTTGCCAAGTGAGATATCATCTGGAAACCAACCATTCTTGCCATCAGGAGACATTGTGAATTTTAAACAGGAACATTTCCCATATATGGTACGAGAGGGGCATAAAATAGAAACCACCAGTCAATTATGTAGTCTTTTCATGAAAAGGGTTTCCAAAAGCACAACATAAGAGTTTGATTTTTGCTGCAAGCAAGGAGGTCTATATAATCTGTTACCCTTACCATTCATCTCAATGGAAGTTGATGGGCTGGTGCAGGATCCCCAGAAGTATACAACAACAGAAATCTGTTCTATAAAAAGCTGTTGAAGAGTCAGAAGTTACAAACTCTGTATGTTGGGTAACAATGAAACACAGCTACTTAGATGGATAGCATTTGCTAGGGCTGTCGCGGTGAAGGAATTTCCCTTGCGGTAATTTTGAGTGGCTCAATAGCGCGGTATGTGGTATTATCGCCATACGTATATATATATATATATAAAATCTGTGTGTGTATGTGTTACGATATAATGAGCCGAGGTCATATTCAGAAACCAATGAAACTGAAACCAAATAGCGTTGAAAGAGGAAGTGAAGTAAACAGAAGAGAATGACAAAATAACGATCCACATAACAGAACATAAACCTGACAATAAGATTGTTAGGCTATATGTATAACAGTTCGTTCTGATCCTCGAATCCGACTGGATAAGAGACTTTCTATTGATATTTCCACCTGCGCGCGTTCTAGACGGGCTGTCAGCCAGTGCAGTTACATTGTTGCGCCACAAAGTGGTGGAAAGGGACTGTCTTTAAACCATTCATTCAACTACATGTTCAAAAACGCTGATTCATTCAAAGAGAGACAAAATGAAAAACGCTGTTGAAATCATTTGAACTTTGAGCGCCATTAGAAGGCTCAGCTGACCAAGCATGCGTCGATGCGAAGACAGAGATTTAGCTTTCCTTGGACACGACTACCTATTTTCACAAATATATATGACTCGCAAGTAATCACACATGCTCAGTTGATCTCTCTCTCATTCGTTGTCTGTTTAGGCTTGTTAAGTGCAAATCTACAGAGCCTCAGTACAAATCAGCATGGTACACATTATGTTATCATTACTAACTTATTTAGCCTAATATTCAGTACACATGCACGAAGTGTAAAACGAGAAGGGCATAACCATATGAAAAAAGAAAACACGCAAAAATGGCAGTTGCTGCGGTTTGCTCGTCAATAGTGCGGTATTGCGATTATCAATAGTGCGGTATTGCTTGAATTTGCTTACTTGGGTAGGCTGCCAATTTAATGGTAAGCCTATAGGCATATACAAAAAAGTGCAATAAGAATTTTCTTCTTCTTTTTTTTTTGCCAAAATATAAAATATAAATTCACTGGCTAAATCGCTATTGTCCCCATATTGGCATCTACGTAATATTTAATTTCACACCAAATGTGATAGCATTATGATTAGCTGGCCTTGAGTGCCAATTGGGTGGGCATTATATCATTATACTACACATAAGATATCTTTTGAAATGTATTTAGGGCTTTCCATATACAGGTTAAATGGTCAAAAACTCTACTGTGTTCGTTTAAAAGATGGCACACAGGATAATGTCACTGAGTCATGCTTCAGTTTTTCTCAAACTCTGAAAGCAGCCATTGTGAGCATGTCAATGTTTTCCTTGGTCTAAATAAATACATTTAGAGACGCTTGGTTCTTCTGTCTCAATCCTCTGTGGGCTACAAGTACTACAAAGCGAGCTGCTGCTTGTGTACTTTACATGCCACACTACATCCCATGTGTTCTGGTCACATTTCATGCCAATAAGACATATTTTGCATAAAGAAAACAAAGACTATTTTCAAAACTGTTACATTTTTTGCATTGTAACATTCTTCTAGTGCTAATTAAACAGATTTTTCTCCCAAATTCTCATTAAAATGCTCATAAAACAAGTGTTTTTTGTTAGAAAACATTATTCTCGTTAGATTATCTTCACTGTAACAGCAATTTTTTAATGTTAAAAAATAAAAACAGTAAACAAAATAAATAAAAATGTATTTAATGTAAGTTGCTTTGGATCACAACGCCTGCCAAATGCATAAATGTAAATAGAAGTTTTATTCTTTTTTATTTTTTGCATTACTGTAATGACTAACTAATATGTTTCAAGCATCAAACAAATCGTATGTCTGTCTCTAGACTGGGAATGAGATAACTAGTCAGGCTGTGTAATGTCAAGAGAAAACAGCTTAGCTCCGATCCCAGATGTGCAGAATGTATAAACAGACGAAGAGAATGAAATATTTAACATTGGTGTGTGAATGAAGAAGTGTACAAAACATATTAAAAAATCAGTTTGACAGCATATATGTTTATAACACAAAATGTTAGCGTTTAGCTCTGAGTATCAGGAGAATAGGTGTTATTGTTGGACAATGGCTGTTATCTGTCAGCCGAAAGAGTTTAATTAATCCTTTCACAAAAGCCAAACTCTACTTGACACCAAGAGACTCTTATGCAAGAGCAATTAAAGCCTGTTTCTCTCCCTAAGCAAGCTGCAGTGAATAATGTAAAACTAACCATGGAAAAAAAAAACTTTGACTCTTGACGATTTGTGTATCACGAGGATAAAACCAATGCAGATGCCCTGAGCTTTTTATGCAACTCATTGATTATCCAACGATATTCTGTTTAAGAGACAAAGCATGGATGTGTTATCATGATGAACAATGCTATTCATTTAAGTCCAAGACATTACACCATATATTTGCTTTTGAATAAGACTTCTATCATCGTTCTATCATGACGACTGGCCAATCAGGAAAACTAGGCTCTTTTAGACAATGAGTCTACTTATAAAACTGACAGAGCCAGCACAGGTTTTACAACACGGATACCATTTTATCACTACTGGGCTGTCAGAAACACCTGCAAATAATAATAATATAGCTTTCTTGATGTTCTCATTACCTAGAACAGAAAAAATATGTTCCTAAACCAGAAAAAATATATAGTTCTGCAACTACCCAGAATAATCACAAAATTAAAAAGTCCTCCTGTTCAAGGTGAGTTATGGAATATTGTACAAATATAGTACAAAGGTGAGTTATGGAATATTGACAGCCTGAAGGATTTATAAGACAATTTCATTATACACTTCCAATCTATTTATTTTTTGACACCAAGTATAATAATACATGTAATAAACATTAATAAAATATATTGCTTTCTCATCCAAATCTCACCTACACAAAGCTATACAGTTGCTAAAATGTTATTCACTGTAACTCTATAGGATTCTTTTGTTTTAACATCTAAAAATCATCAAAGTATAATAATTTAAGCTGCATAATTTGAAGTATGATTCATAGATTTCCTTGGCAAGCATCACTAATAAAATACACACAGTTTGCCAGGCCACTGTCTCCATGACACAATCAATTTGACAGCCTAAACTGATGCTGCATAGCTGACTATAACATCCCATAAGCAAAGCATGATTAAAGCAATACCACAATTATCCATTTTCAGATTCGCCAGTAACTGGCTTGGAAACTATAGAGTTAACAAGGCTTACACAATTTCTCAGCTGCAGAGGTTTCTAGCACTCAGCTGCATCCTCCTTACATGCAGCCTATGTCAGGAGATTCGCTCATGCGTGCTGGAGAAAGCGCCGGCTAAATATAGATAATGGTACACCTACAGTATGGCTCTCCTTCAGCGATGACACGGCTCTAGATGTCTAGTGCCAAACAGAATCCTTAAAATCTAAATAAGGAGGATTGTGGGAAATGGCAGTGATATTCCGAGGTCCTTTAGACACTGTAATAACTCTATGACTCTTCAAGTAATACCAAGAAAATATTGAGCTATGTTTGAAGCAAAACAATAGGGAAAGCACTTTCAAAAAGTACATTACATTTTAGTGAATGATGCATTGCATTACATGTTCCCATTAGAAAATACATATGAATGCTGGGTTTTGAGGGTTAGTTCATCCAAAAATGAAAAAGCTGTCATCATTTACTCACCGTAAAGTCATTCCAAAGCTGTATGACTTTCTTCTGCGGGACACAAAAAGGTTAATAATGAGTTAATGATGACTGAATTTTAATTTTGGAGCGAACTATCCCTTGGACTAGATTGCATCATATTTCACGCATAAACAGGGAACAGAAGGGAGGACTTTAAAGTGAGTTATCAGAATTGCTGCAGCTGCCTGAGGAAAATTTCAGATAAAAATGGGAGAGTAACGGAAAAGACAGGGAGATACTGTCCTGATTTCCAGATGTTTCGGCGAACTCATAGCAAAGACTTCTACCCTACGGTCAACTCTTCTTGAAAAGCCTTCTAATGTAGAACAGGGCTTTCCAAAAAAAGTGCCTGCAAGTGTGCATGTGAAACAGGGAGGGAGGGGGCACTTCAGCAATTTCTCATTCAACACTTCATTTGAAAATCTGTCCTGCTTGACAACTCTAAAACAATTTCGCCCAGTATAGTCGCACTGATCACTACTTTATTGCACTTTTTCTACCCTAGCGCACACTGGCTCTGTTTCAGCACTTCAGAACGCTTCAGCAGATGTGGGAATATTCTAGGTACTATATACTGCCATCATCAGCAGTGCACTGCTTCGTGGCAAGTGGTTTTGTTTTATCACCGTTTTAGAAGATTCATAGACCTTTACTTTATGCCAAAAAGCTCTTTTCCGAACACTGAATACAAACAGATGCTTTTCTAGAAGCATACTCTTTGTTTTTTCTTGCTTTATTCGGTCTACGCTAAAAAATGATGGTGTATAAAGAACTTTCACTCAGAAATTGTTACTAAATTTCATAAAAAAGGAAAAGCACAATAAAAAAGCAAGTAACATTAAATTAAATGCAAAATCTTGTAATAGAAAAACTGAAATAGTATTTTCTTCATATTTCATTTTTACAGTGTAAATAAGACAAAGCATACAAGAGTCTAAAATGTTCAAGCATTATTTAGGAGGAATAAGGTGATATGGAATTTCTTGGCCAATAATGATAACAGATAATCAACAGTTTGTTATGGCCAATATGACAACACAAATTTTACTTTTTACATTTTAAGATGGAGCAACTGCTAATTGGTAACTGGTTTATTTATTAGAATTTTTTAAAACATTAATAATGTTAAATTAAAGACATTATAATGCATATATGTTATTTAACCAACTCTCAAAACCTGATTTGTTTAACTGCTGACAAATTAGAAGTTTTGAGTTTCATAATTTGCTAAATATGATGACTATAATTATAATAGGAAACTGTAAAAATATATAA